GGGGTCGTCTGTTGTCTCTTCTTCATTGTCCCTTTGGGCAGTCTTGTCCCTTGGAAGGAAAAAAAAAAGCCCAAATGAGCTAGTCACAGTATCATAGCATTTAGTATTAGAATTTGCATGGTTCCTAGCTCTGGCACTCTTTCTTCCCCAAAATACCCAACAGATAAGCATTATGAAAAACTCCATCTTTACAGTTGCAACATGTGAATAAAATGGCATTAAAAATCTAATTTCAGTATTTCTGCTTATGATGAAACAAGCAGCCCTCACAATTGTAGAACACTCAGAGAAATAAAGACACTACTGGAACAAATATAAAGATCCTAATAATTCTCAACAGCACTAATGACAAGTGACTCTTATGTACTCACTCATACTCTCACTTTTCTGAGTATGACTTGTATACTTCGTAAATTATCTTTTTAAATGGGAAACAGAAGATATAATTTTACATAACTGTGTGACATTTGGAATACAGAATTCAGTGACTCTAGTTTCTCTGGCTTTAGTCACAGTCAAAATTAAGCTGGAAATGCTGTAAGTGTGTTCAGCACATTAACATATACACACAGTCTTCATGATGCTCTAAGGTCCACTCACAGGAGGAATTCATAGTGTTCCAAGCACTGGGCTGCTGTTCTTCCTATGATCGGAGCGATGGTCCTCCACTGTGTTGGCATCAGCTTGGCCAAGTGCAAGAGTTTCTCCTCCTCTTCTCTAGACCATTCGGTTTTTTTAATGCTTGGGTCCAGCCACTCATACCTATTAAAGACAACATTTCAAACACTAGTTAGCTACCCAGGATAAATCTCCAGTTTACACATAGGTGACTGTCTAAAATCACATGCTCTCACCCTTCAATCACTAACACTATTCCTTCTGACAAGGGGATAGTCACTGTGAAGTTAAACTTACTCATCTTCCCCTCTTCACATTAAAATGTACTTTAAGTATAGTTATACTTAAAAACCTAATTTGAATGAAGTAAAATCATGACTTCTTTTTCAACTAGTACTCATTTTCACTTACTCTTAACTTTCTCTTTTTGTTTCTGTTGGTGGTGGTAGTTTGGTTTGGTTTTGTCTTTTTGAGATAGGATTCCTCTCTATGTAGCCCCAACTGTCCCGCAACTCCCTCTGCAGTCCAGGCGGCCTTAAACTCAAAAGATCTGCCTGCATCTGCCTTCAATGCTGGGATTAAAGGCTTCTACCACCATACTCTGTTCTTTTCCGGAGGTTCTGACGTTATCTAGGAAGAACAGCACCTTGTATTTCTTTATACTACAATTACACTGCACCTCCTTATGTTTGGGTTTCACAACACTGTCACTTCCTTCTCTTAGCATCTGGCTTCACCCCACTAAATGTTTCAACCCTGTACGCTTTCATCTGCTAGACTTCTAAATTTAAAGTAAAACTACTATGGCATCCTCCATCCTCCAGTGTCTGCCCAATCTGCCCTGTCTACCAGGTATTTAGCTGGGTGGGAGTCTGTGCATGTACAACTGTAGCCCAAACTGGGCTGAAGCTTAATGGCTTAAGATCACAAAAAAAAAAAAATAAAAAAAAATAAAAATAAAAATGCAATCAAACTACTGCAGCCTGAGAGCCACCTTCCTTCTGCTCTGCATCTGACTCTTTCTACCATCCAAAACCAGGTCACTTCATATAATCCAAACAATGTTCCTCACAGAACATGTGCTACAGCTGGGACCTGTTCATTCAAGCCAAGAACACACGCTTATGTCCACCACACTGTGACTTCACAGTGATACCCTAAGTGGAATGTTGGCATCTGTTGCATTTTAGTGTAGCAAATATGCAATGTTACAACCCTGTTACAAGAAAGTAAACACTGTGACCTGACCTATAAAATTAAGCATTGTTTAGCATTCATTTCTTTGGGAAAGTAAGTCCTAAAACAACCAATTTATAGACTTTTAGAACACAATTCATTCAATCAGCTGAGGCCCAGTTATCTCCTATAAGATTTTGTATTTTTTCTCACAAGGCACTTTCAAATAAATACACTGACTCATTTAGACAGGGCTTTCAGAACTTATCAGTTAGTGCTAATAGTATTACCCTAAATTGTGAGAAAACAGGGTAGAGGGGAAGAAAACACGATTTCCTTAAGAACACATAGGAAGCAAGTGACAACTCCATCTAAAAGCCCACCTCCTCCATACTTCCTTCTGTATCACAGTTCTTGCTCTTCTGGGGGAGGTTTCAAAGAGACATTTCACTCATCACAATCAGGACCATGCTGTTTTCCACTTACTGTCTGGTACATACCATCTGGCTTTGCACTGCTTTGCTGATTTCCTATGCAGCAATGAGGCAATCCTAGACCACTGGTTTTTCCCATATTTCATTACCGCTGCTTTCAGAATTTCATCCTAAAAGAGTTGCCAAAGAGAATGCATTCAGTCACAAGCCTCCAAATGAGAAAAGACAAAATGTAAAATTAGCTCCTGCAGAGTTCCTATAGAGACACACACAATCATTAAAAAAAACTTCATTAACAGTTAATGATAAATAGCATAGAAGAATCAGAAGAGGTGACTGGACAGGCAGCTCAGTGGTTAAGAGCATGTACCACTCTTTGCAGAAGACCTAAGGTCAATTCCCAGTGCCCACATCAGGCAGCTTACCTGTATCTCCAGCTCCAGGAGAATCCAAAGCCTCTAGCCACTGAGGCTTTGGATATGAGGCTTTTTTTCATATGCCTGTACTCATATGAACATACCCATATACAGACAAATAATTTTAAAAATAAAAATAAATCTTTTTTTGAAAGACAGGAAAAAAAAATCCCACAAAGGACATCTTACCTGTCTCTCAACAAACTAGAGATGGGAAAAGTCAATGCTGAAAACACTACTTTATGACAGACTTGCAAAAATTATCCACCAGTATGTACCTGCTATTCTCTTCACAAAGGGAAGTTCACACACATTTATATATTTATTCATCAAAAAAGTTTCCTGAATATCTACCCTAAACCAGGTCTTGTGTACTCCAGAAAGAAAATCAAAGATGACCTATCCAGGCCTCAAGAAGCAACCTGAGACCCTGACTCAACACATTTCCACTCCAGTATCCTACTCAGCACAACGGCCCAGGAGCCACAGCTCCTTCTACCTCATCAGTCATCACCCTGTCTACTCCAATCACCAAATATTTCCCCAGGGTACTCAAACAACAAATCCCCGCACAACCTGCCAAGTGAACTCACAGACAGCAGGGATCACAGTCATAGATGAATGCGCTTGAGCACTTTACCCTGGGCTTCTTCCACAGTGAACCTGAACTGCAGGCCTTATTCTTGAGCCTGTCCACTCCATCTTCTCTCCCATTACTAACTGATGGTGTGCATGAAGTCCTGGGTTAGAGTCCCTAAGACTCCGCCTGGCGGCAACACACCTGTAACCCTGGCACTGGGAGAGGTAGAGGCAGGAGGATCAGAAGTTCAGGGTCACCCTCATTTATGTAGCAAGCTCCAGGCCAAGCTCATGAGACCCTGTCTCAAACACACAAGCACGCACACACCCCTGCAGAGTTCTGACCACTACAGAGGAATCCTGCAGTTACTTGATTTGCTGATTCTGCTTCTTCCTCAGAGGCCGCCTCTCCTCTAATTTAAGGAGCCTCGGTCCCTCCATTTGTAACGCTGACGAAGTTTTTCTATACTTCAACACATCTTCAACCACGCATACACGGTGACTACCTATCCCACAAGATCCCAAAACACCACCCAAAAACCCGCTTCATACTAAGTTCTAGAATACCAAAGCCTGGTCCTCCTGCACCGCTGTCTGATGTGGACAACAGCCCCTCGTTTTCAATGAAGGCTTACTGATGTCCCCAGCTGGGCTCACAATGTTCCAAACTGGTAACTCATTACAAGTATATATATACGACTGTTTTATAAAAACCGCGGCTTTGAGAAGTTAAAACTCGGCTGGAACCACACAGAAGTGCCTGCAACAACACAGTACGCTGCAGCAAATGAAAATGGGTGGCACAAAACCACTAAACAACTAACACTCAACTGGATGACTGGATGACTAATGGGCAAAGACTCCAGGACGGTCAGAAAGATGACAAGCAACAGGAAGAGATCTCTCCAGGGGAGAGACCTAAAGGTATTCATACATTCGGTTCATCTGAGCAAATGCACGGAAACCTCATTTCTGTTCTACCTCTTTTCTTCTGCCGTTCCGTTCACCCTTGGCATTATCTACTCCATCTCTGGAAGCAAATACCACCATACGTAGTTTGCCCTAACTGGCTTCTATCCCTGCCAGGGCGGAGTGACGAGAAGGTAAGAGAAAGGACCTTGGGATCCGCAAAGCGGACAGACTATGCCCGGGCATCAGATAGGCGGAGAGGAACAGACGGAAACGCGCCGCCTGCCCCACTGCAAGGAAGTCAATGAAAAACAAAGTTGCAGCCACGGCGAATTCTATCAGCTCGAAGCGCTGTGTGTACGAGCTGAGAAAGGAAGGAGCTGGGGAAACACTACGTTCCCACGGAGGTCCAGGCTGGGCCGCCGCAGGGTCACCGGGGAGAGCGAGGGGGCGCGTCCCTAAATGAACAAATAAGTGTTTAAGGGCCTAGCAGACGACGGGCGGGGAGCGCGGAGCGACAAGTCGCGACCTCGCCCCCGAGGTGCCAGGGGGACCCACGGCTGCACCCGCAGACGGCCATGGTCCCCCACGCACACCCCGCGGGACAGCCACGGCTCCCGGACCTCCCCGCGCGTGCGCACAGGCTACCGGACCCGGCGGAGGGCACCGGACGGCGGGAAAAGCTGCCTCACCTCGGTATTCCTCCACACGCCCCCTTTGATCATAATCCGAGGCATCTTGGTGGCGGAGTGTCCCGGCAAGCGGCCGAGAGGGGCTTCGAGAAAGTAGTAACGGCGCTTCGGTCACGGGACGCAAAGAAGCCACTTCCTCCAAGAGCGACCTTCTGCTTTGGAGAGATCTGCGCAGGCGCGGCGGGGGCGGCCCGGTAAGTCTCGCGAGATCTCAGTGGCCGAAGGGAAAAGACGCGGCCTGTTTGGAACCTTAAGACTGACAGAAAATCATCAAACCGCAGGGGCCAAAGCGCCCTACGTCGCGCGCAGGTCCGAGACAGGTTGGAGGAAAACAAAACTCTCGCGAGATGCCAGAGGTGGAACTTGGCCGGCAGCGCCGGGACGGCATTGGTCCCGGCGTCACGCGGAGGGCGGCACGGGGGAAAATGTCAGGCTTGTGGCGTTCCGAACCCGGGCTGATCCGAAGGGTGCGTTGTCAGGGAGAGCCGTGCTGGGCGTGTCGGCGATGAGGACCTCGCAGGATCCGCAGGGAAGTGCAATAGCGTGGTCTGTTCTCATCTGGAAGAGATGAGCTCGGAAGATGCCGTACGGATCCGATGACATCATAAATGTAACCCGATTGATGGGACTGCTCTCCCGAAGGAAGTAAGTGTTCCTTATCCTTCCTAGAAGGGCCACGCAAACTTCACCTCCACCCCCAAAGGGTTCAGAAGATGTCCTAAAAAAGTCACGCCAGCGGTTCTCACTCATCACTCACTGTTGGGTGTCTGTGGAACGGACTCTGGCAGTGCGGGAGCCTTGTCCCTGTAATCCTGTGTCGTCATCTGAAGAGTAAAACTAAGGACACACTTGCTCATAAATGCAGAGGACAGCTGCGAGTCAACAACAACAACAACAAAAAAAAAAAACTCGGTGAGGTGAAAATTGTTAAAACTCTCCGCCATCTCCTATCCCTGTTTCCCACGCAGACTACTTCACTATTCCAGAGCAATTATTTGCTGCCACCCCAGGTCGCTAGGGAAAGATTTTATTCCGTGCTCTGGTTTTTTGTTGTTGTTTTTGTTTCTGTCTGCCTCTTCTGGAAGACGTGACAGATTTTCTGATTTGTTTTTTGTTTTTTTTTTCCTTGAAATAGGAAATTATATCAGTAAAATATCACAGTTTTCTGTTGAGAGGGAGGTAGTGTAGTATTATGAAGAATTTAGTCACCCGCAATCTCATTTCACTCTTAGGTCTCTTTTCAACTGTCATTTTGACAAGTGACAAGCAATTTTCTGCCTTTGGGCTTTTTGCAATGCTTTCTTGTAAAGATGTGTCACCCTTACTTCCTTCCCACCCGGACAACATTACTTAGTTGTTATGATTATCACACTTCACACACTCACGTGCGCACCTCTTTGACCAGATCAAAGCAAAGCTAAAGATACCTCCTTGGGAATTTTAATACCTAGGACCCAAAAGAGGTCACTGTTTCTGCCAGCTAATGAATCTCTGTGGCACCTACCAATTGTGTACAACCTGTGTTTTGAACCATAGAGACCAAGATGGGAAGAAAGGACATCACAGATACAGTGAAAGGATCAAAACACAAACTCTGAAGACTTAGAAGTAGGTCCTGGCCACAACATGGTCCCTGGATCCAAAATATTCCCAAGTCACAGTTGCTTCCATATTCCCCTTTTGAATCTAGTCACTGGAGTTAGGGTTCAAATATTTATAAGCAAGAGTCCTAATAAACCTAGAGTTGAACAAGCCCTCTCTGGGAGAGCCCTTTCACATTGTATATTCCAAAGGTTCATGACAATGGCTTCTTCCCCTCAGAACCACCTTTACACCGTCAGTCATCTTTATGCTAACTTGAAAAAGGTGTCTCTTCCTTAAGGCAAGTTACTTAACATGTCACCTGCTAGAAAATTGTCACTAAGGATTGGTGTTTTGAGAACAGGACATTTCTGCAACCGATTTAGATATACCGTGTCTGTGGTGTGAATTTGAGTCAGATGCACCAACATTGCCCCTTTTATTGCCCTTTTATTATGGGTCTCCAAGTGACACACATGCCCCTCTGAGCACAACAGCCCTGTCAGCTCTCTTTGTACACCTTTGCGCATATAGACTGTGTGTTCCCCTGGGGTTCAGAGATGGAAAGTCAGTCTGAAACCTCTGAGATCAGAGCACTACATCCAGAAACACCAGAATATAAATCTGCTGTCCTCCACTCCAGCCTCATCAGTCAAATTCAGATCCCCAAAAAGGCTGCCTCCAGCACAGGGACTGCCACCATTAGGCAGCCAGACTGTCATCACTGTGAACCTTCAGCAAAGCAAGTGGCCACTTCTAAAAGAGGCTTAAAGAGAAAGGTTCCACATCTTCCTCACTCGCCCAACATACTCTTCCCCAAATATGTCCCAGAAAATGAATCGTGGAAAACTCCATAAATATGTTTCATGGTGACTTCACTTAAACAAAAACAAAAGAAAAACATGTTCCCCATTCTTCACTTTACCAAAATTAAAGCTGAAAAGAACTTGTAAGATGAGGAAATCTGCTTCTCTCTGTTGTGAGTTGAAATACATCTCCAAATAGATACAGTCACCTCCTAATCCCCCAGTACCTGAACATGTGCACTCATTTGGAAATATTGTAGAGTCTGCACAGATATGATCAAGTTAAGATGAGACCATATTGGTGTGGAGCTAACACTATACCCAACAACCAGTGTCCTCATGAGAAAAGTGACATGCACTTCTGATTCCCACCCCATTCACCACAGTTCTTCCTACTACACTGTGATTTTATCTCCTGCTTTAATTCCTGGACCCAAGAAGTCCATGCCTGGATTCCTGACTAATCCATGGCATAAGGGATCTGCTTTATTTTTTTTTTTGGGGGGGGGGGGTGTCCTGTTTTAAAAAACAACTTAGTTATGCTCCGGAATACATACATACAAAAAAAGGCTGACTAGAATGATTATCACAGCCATCATAGCTGCCACTATCATAGCATGGTTGCCGCTGCAGTTGCTACCGCTGCCTTGACGCCATCTAGCCAAACAATAGCAAATTCCTATTTTCAAAATAAACATTTTAAAATGGTGTTTGATAACTGGCTTAACCCTTCTATGGTTTTCAGGACTGGTAGCTATTCTTGGTTGTCAACTTGACTATATCCGGAATGAGCTACAACCCAGAAATGGAGTGCACACCCGTGAGAGATTTTCTGCTTGGTTTGAAGTAGATGAATCCACTTGGTTTGAGGTAGGAAGACACACTTTGATCTGAATCTTGAGGTGGGAAAACATACCTTTAATATGAGCCACACCTTCTGTTGGAAGCTTTTATAAGGATATAGAAGAAGGAAGATTTTGCTTTTTGCCTGCTTGCCCTCACCTTGCTAGCACATCCATTTTTTTCAGTGGCATTGGAGCCTACTTCTGGATTCCAGCATCTACTGAAGATGATCTGAGACATCCAGCCTGTGGGACTGAGAAACTACTCAATTCTTAGATTTTCTGTTCACAACTATCCATTGTTGGATTAGCTAGACTGCATCATGTAAGTCATTCCAATAAATCTCCACATATATAAATGTATATATAGATTTATATGAGTTGGATTTATTTCATATATACATATATATATAGAGAAAGAGAGAGATTGATTCATTCCATAAGTTATGTGACTCTAGAGAACACTGACTAATACAGATGTTGGCACCAGAAGTGGTTCTAGAGAAACAGAAGTATAAGAATGAATCTTTTAAGGATCTGGAATAGTCTTTTGAATTCTCCAGCACCTTCAGCTACTGAAGCCTCTCCAGTCACTCCCTCTCCTGGGAGCTTGGAGAGTACTGAAAGCCCATGGTGTCAACTGTATTACAAACTTATAGAGATAACTGCATTTGATCATCCTGATTCACCAATTGTAAGCGGCAATGGATTTGAAACTGTATATGAAACTTTTGACAGTTTCGGGGAAAATAAAGAAAATAATGCTGCTGGTTGGTTGCTCTTAGCATCTCTGGATAAACTGATAAAGGATAGGAATCAGCTCAGTGATAAAATTAACCAACTTGAGAATATGGTGAAGGACAACAAAGAGCTTAGTGATAAAATTGACCAGCTCCAGATGCTCATAAATAGTCTAAAGGTTTCTAAGTGTGCCCTGGAAGAGAATCTTCTCTCCAGCAGCCACAGAGCTCAAATTGTGGAAAATCAAACTGAAGCTCTCATGATAAGGTTACCTGAATTACAGCAAAAATTCAAGTCTCAGCTTCAGAGGGTATCAGCAGTTAAAGTAAGGGCGGTAATTGGTAAAGAATGGGATCCTGTAACTTGGGAAGAGGATGTGTGGGAGGACCCTATTGAAGCTGATCAGAACTTTGAACCCTTAGATTCTCAAGGGTTTACCTTACCTGAGGAAGTAGTGCCTTCAGCACCACCCCTTGAAATACTGCCCTTTTCACCTGAGGAAATGAATCCTTCGGTGTCTGCTAAACCAGCAGTGTCTTTCTCTGAAGGAAATGCCAGGCAAGACAGTACTGATGTCTGTCAGGGCCCAGTTATAGTTGCCTCTAGACTGGTAGCCAGACTTAAGGAGAAGCAGGCTCCTAGTGAGGAAGTGGGAAGTGTAGTCCATGAGGAGGAGCATCACACTGCCAAAGAGCTTAATGAGTTTGCTAATTCATTCAAGCAGAAGTCTGGGGAATACATGTGGGAATGGATTTTAAGGGTGTGGGATAATGGTGGAAGGAATATAAAACTAAACCAGGCTGAGTTTATTGAAATGGGCCCTCTGAGTGGAGATTATAGGTTTAATATGGAAGCTCGCACAGTTCAAAAAGGTGTCAAAAGTTTGTTTGAATGGTTGGCTGAAGTGTTTGTCAAAAGATGGCCTACTGAAAAGGAGTTAGAGATGCCTGAGATCCCTTGGTTTAGTGTTGATGAAGGGATTTTAAGGCTCAGGGAAATTGCAATGCTAGAGTGGGTACGCTGTGTAAAACCTAATCCTCCACAATGGGAAGGCCCTGAAGACATGCCCTTCACTAATCCTATAAGAAGAAAAATGGTGAGAGGGGCACCGGCATGTTTAAAGAGCTTTGTTTTAGCCCTCTTCCTTGTGCCAGACCTTCGGGTTGGAGATGCTGCTGCTCAGTTGGAAGAATTAAATGCAATGGGTTTAGTTGGGCCCCAAAGTAGCAGGGGCCAGGTGGCAGCACTGAATTGTCAAAGGCAAGGTGATCATAGTTATGGGAATGGGCAGCATAGACAAAACAATGTTCTTGATAGCCTAGCCCATGGTGGTCAGCAAAGGCAAAGTGAATTTTATAGTGGCATGACTCATATGGACCTGTGGTACTGGCTAATCACACATGGTGTTTCCAGGCAAGAAATAGATAAGAAGCCTACTGCATTTCTGTTTGAGCTGTATAAGCAGAAAAATTCTCAAACAAATGAAAGAAGGGCTACATTGGATCATGGCAAAAGACAATCTTGGAATCAATTTCCAGACTTGAGCCAGTTTGCAGACCCAGAACCCCTTGAATGAAGGGGTTGCCAGGTTCCCTTGAGGAAGGACCTTGATAACCACCTAAAAGTGTTACTGTTAGGCTTTCTCCAGTCCTTCCCCAGAGGGACCTACAGCCTTTGACAAGGGTGATTGTACCCTGGGAAAAGGAAACAATCAGACTTTCCAAGGTCTGTTGGATACTGGTTCTGAATTAACATGGATTCCAGGAGATCCCAAGAAACATCATGGCCTCCAGTTTGAGTAGGGGCTTATGGAGGCCAGTGATTAATAGAGTTTTGGCTGCAGTCCTACTCACAGTAGGTCCAGTAGGTTCCTGAGCTCATCCTGAGGTTAATTCCTCAGTCCTAGAGTATCTCATTGGTATACATATACTAGAAGTTGGCAGAATTCTCGCATTGGTTCCCTGGCCTGTGGAATGAAGAGTATTTTGGTTGGAAAGGCTAGAGGGAAGTCTTTAGAAGTTGCCTCTGCCAAAGAAAATAGTGAATCGAAACCAGTATAGCATATCTGGAAGAATTGTAAAAATTAGCGCCACCATCAAAGACTTGAACAATGTAGGGCTGGTGATTTCCAGCACATCTCCCTTTAACATTCCTACCTGGCTAGTGCGGAAGGCTGATGGATCGTAGAGAATGACAACTGACTGGAAAAAGCAGTCAGATACTAACTCCAGTTGCAGTTGTTGCACCAAGTGTAGTGTCCTTCCCTGAGCAGATCAACACATCTCCTGGTATGTGGTATTAAGCTACTGATCCAGCAAATGCCTTTTTCTTGGCCCCTGTTCATAAAGAAGCAATTAGCTCTCAGTCGGCAAGGCCAACAGCATGCCTTTACAGTTTTACCTCAAGAATATTAACTCTCCTGCCCTGTGTCATAACTTACTTAAAAGGGATTTGATTGTCTGTCTCTTCCACAAAATATCACATTAGTACACTTTATTGACTACGTGTAATGCTTCTGTTAGAACCACCACCCACAGACTTACAGAATGCCTTATCCTCTGCCATGGCATACCACACAGTATTGCTTCTGACCAAGAAATATACTTCATAGCCAGAGAAGTATGACAGTAGGCCCACGGTAATGGAATCCATTGGCCCTACCATGTTCCCCACCATCCCGAAGCAGCTGGCCTGATAGAAAGATGGAAGATTCTTCTGAAAACACAGTTACAGGTGGTAGCAGCCTGGTGGGATGGGTCAGGGTTCTCCAGAAAGCAGTGAATGCTTTGTATCAATGCCCAGTATCTGTTTATTGGACAGTTTGTGTGTATAGTTTCTCCCATAGCCAGGATCCCTGGGTCCAAGAATCAAGGGGTAGGATAGGAAATGGTTCAACTCACTATCACCCCTAGTGACCCACTGGGAAATTTTTTGCTTCCTGTTTTCACAACCCTAAATTCTGCTGTCCTTACAGTTTTGGTTCCTGATCAGAGGAGTGCTCCTGATAGGAGCCACAGCAAACATCCCATTAAACTGGAAGCTCAAACTTCCCGCTGGTCTCTTTAAACCAGCAGGCTAAGAAAGGAACAGCAGTGTTATGGGGGGGGGGGGGGGGGCAATTGCAGATCACCCTGGGAAAGTGGATTGCTTCTCCGAAATGGAGCTAAGAAAGATTATGTCTGGAGTGCAGCAGATCCTTTAGGGCTTCTCTTGGTGCTACTGTGTCCTGTGATTAAATTCGACGGGAAAATACAACAGCCTAATCCAGGCAGGATGACAAAGGGCATACAGCCATCAGGAATGAAGGTATGGGTCACTCCTCCAGGAAAAGAGCCAAGAGCTGTTGAGGTGCTTGCTGAGGGTGGAAGAAAAACAGAATGGGTAGTAGAGGAAAGTAGTTTAAAGTGCCAACTAAGGCCACATGACCTTGCCAAAAAAAGAAAAAGAAAGACAGAAATGAGGTTTATAGTTGACATGAATGTTTCTGTTGTATTTTGTTAAGATGCATCTGTACAAATATTTGTGGGTTATTTCAATTTGTATGTTATAACATCAATTAATATCAATGGCTATCATGTTTAAGTTTGAGGTACTAAAAGGATATCCCCCAAGGGACATTGCCACCTATTCTAAATTAATAGTGTGTTTGCTGTTGTCCAGGGATAGATATATCATCTTAGGTATAATTATGACCTGTTTAAATATATAATGCATTTGCAATTATGCATGGGATAGTTATGATTGGGCATTATTATGACCTGGTTATTGTTTTCATTTGGAAATTAATCATGACCTAAGGAGATATGATTGTGTGTCAGGTTGACAAGAGGTGGACTTGTGATGACTATTCTTGGTTGTCGACTTGACTGTATCTAGAATGAACTACAATCTGTCAAGAGATTTTTTCACTTGGATTGAAGTTAAGTGAATCTGTTTCTAGTCTGGACCTTTGAGGTAAGAAGACACACACCTTTGATCCAGATCTTGAGGCGGGAAGACACAGACCTTTCATTTGGACCATGAGGGGGAGACAGAAGCCTTTAATCTAAATCTTGAGATAGGAAGACTCAATACCCTAATATGGGCTACACCTTCACGGGCATTGGAGCCCACTTCTTCTGGATTCCAGCATCTACTGAAGACCATACTGAGACATCCAACCTTGTGGGACTGAACAACAGCTAGATTCTTGGATTTTCTGTTCACAGCCAGCCATTGTTGGATTAGCTAGACTGCAGCCTGTAAGTCATTCCAGTAAATTCCCTTTTAAGAAGGACCACCTAGAATAAAGTCACACAAGCTCAGGCTGTTCCCCACAGTACACCATGCCTTGACCAGTTCTTCACCAGTGACCACCAACATCAACATTTTTTTTTTTTTTTTTTTTTACCTATAACAAAACAAAAAGGAAGAACTGTGCCAATGCATTACATTACGATAAAAATATCTCTTGCATCCTAAGAGACTGGAATGTTTGCTGGACCTGACAGCCATCGTTAGTAATACACTTCAAGGTCACTTAAGACTGCTGCCCTACTCTATACTCTGCCTGTTTATTTAATCTGCCTTTAAGAGAACAATGTAAAAACCAGCTTTACTTCCAATGGACTTCCCATTAAATCATCTTTTGGCTTTGCTGGGTTGTTTGTTTGTTTGGTTGGTTGTTTGTTTGTGGGGGTTGATGTTGAGACAAGGTCTATGTAGTTCTGTCTGTCCTGGAACTTACTATGTAGACCAGATTGGCTTTCAACTCACAGAGATCCTTCTGCCTCTGTCTCTCAAGTGCTGGGATTAAAGGTATGTACCACCATGCCCAGCCCATATGACCAACTTTTCCAGTTTAAGCTAATACATAGCTATAATCATGACCCAATAGTCATGCATGTATGTTTGTACTTGTGTTATAGTAATCATTTGCTGGAAACACCTAATAGTCTGAAAGCAATTTTATAAAATAAATATTCGTAAGTATTGAAAACAACAGTCAGGTATTACTTGAAAAAAGGAAAAAGAGAAGTGACATGGAAACAGTATAAACAGTATGTGAAGAACCAGGCAGCAGTGAGGGATGATGGATCAAAGACAAGGAGCACCTTGTTTTGCCAGCAAACACTAGAGCAGCGGTTCTCAACCTCCCTAATGCTGTGACCCTTTAATACAGTACCTCATGTTGTGGTGACCCCCAACCATAAAATTGTTTTCATTGCTACTTTATAACTGCAATTTTGCTGTTGTTATGACTCGTAACATAATTATCTGTGTTTTCCGATGATCTTAGGCAACGCCTGTGAAAAGACCATGACTCCTAAAAGGGTCTCAACCCACAGGTTGAGAACTGATGCACTAGCGTTAAGAGAAACATGAAATGCACTCTTCCCCTGAATCTCCAAGAAAGACCCAACCTTGTGAACAAAGTTTCTCAGACTCTGCTTCCGGGTCAGGAGAGAATCCATTTCTCTTTTTTTCCAAGACTTTTTTACTTTTTTTTTTTTTTTTTTTATGTGTATGGGTATTTTGTGTTCATCAATGTCTGTGCACGTCTGTGCAGTACCTGAAGAGACCAGATGAGAGCTTTGGATCCCCTTGAACCAAGTAACATACAGTTGTGAGCCACCATGTGGAGGCTAAGACCCACACCTGGGTCCTCTAGAAGATCAGCCAGTGCTTGTCATGGCTGAGCCACCTCTCCAGCCCAGAGCCCACTTCTTTTGTCTTATGCCACAAAAGCTCTAGAAGCTAATATACTTTTCTTTTTCCTTTCTAGATTTAGTCTTTTTATTTAATGCATATAAGTGTTTTGCCTGCATGTACTTTGGGTGCCCTAGAACTGGAATTACAGATGGTTATGAACTACCAGATGGGAGCTGGGAACAAAATTCATCTTCTACAAGAATGGTCTGCATTCTTAACTGTTGAGCCATCACCGTAGCCCCCACCCCTCTTTTTTTTAAGAATTTCCAAATTGGTCTGACACAGAAACTCTTCTTCACATAATACCTATTGACATGCCAGAAACAGTCTGGGCGAGTCTGGCTCCAGAAAGACAATGATGGTCTGTCAGACCTACGAAGGAAATCTTAGGCTGCATCATGCTCCATTGTGCCACCATAATCACCTTCTAGAACTGGGTCTGACTGAGCTGACATTACTAACCTGAGGAGAATACTTCAGATACCAATTTCTGTCTCACCTGGTTTGCCTTTTTACTGTTTTCAATTTTCAATTTTATTTGTTACTGGGAGGGGTATTGCAAACTACAGCGTACATGTGGAGGTCAGAAGACAAACTTTGAGGAGTCAGTTTCTCTCTTCCACCGAGGGTTGCAGAGATCACACTCATGTCACTGGGCTGGCTTGGTAAGCACTTTGACCTGTTGAGCCTAGGGGCCAGCCCCTGCCTATCTTTTAACGCCAAGATATTATACAGAAAATGGCTGAAATTAGGGATGAAAGTCCACACAACATCAAAGCATAGGTGGGAAGAATATTAGTCACTCCCATCGACCTCATAATCTCTCCCAAATAAACATACTCAATTAAGACGAGCCCTCTAGCTCTACCTCCAACTCCCAAATTGGCACCCCTAGGCCCTCCTCTCATTTACACATTAGCAGCACTGGGCTGGCTATTTACTGCAAAATGAAATACATGCACCCTACCACAGAAATTAATACCATATTGCAAAACATTTTTTAGGATTTTTTTTATTTATGTGTATGTGTGCTCACATGTGCGTGCACCACACATGCAGTTGTCCGATGAGGCAAGAGCAAGGCTTCAGGCCCCCTGAAGCTGTATCTACAAGGTTTTCTGGGCCTCCTGTCCTGGATGATGAAACCTGAACTTCTTTCTTCTGCAAGAGAAGAAAGCACCCTTAACCGTGGAGCCATCTCCCCAGACCCTGCAAAATAGTCTTAGTCGCCTAATGTGGCTGGAGTTTCCGCTACCAGCATTTCTTTGTGGTGGGTCCAATTGTGGTTTTAAATGTATTTTTTCCTCAGGAGTTCATCTTTGCAGGTCTCGTTTCTAGAGAGTCTCCTGTGCCCTGAAGTGGGACAGTGTTCCAAAGAGAATTTGCTTTTCCTCGGGCCCCAAGGATTCAAGAGTCCTTTGAGTTCATTGCTCTGTTTGGGACCGGTATTCCAATCTGGTCATTAAAACTAGACCTTGAAGTTGGGCGGAGGTGGCACATGCCTTTAATCCCAGCAGAGTCAGGCAGATCTCTGAGTTCAAGGCCAGGTAAGAGTTCCAAGACAGCCAAGGCTACACAGAGAATCGCTGTCTCAAACAAACAAAGAACCTAGACCCTGAATCCACATGTTTCACAGAGATTTTTCTTTTTCACATGCATATATTTATACCCCAGACTCTTATGCCAGCTACATCATAGGCCTTTTCATCAGTGTGTACTACAGGCATCTCAAAATCAACTTGCCTGATACTAACCTCATCCTGGAAAACCTGTAGTTCCATGTGAATTTCTTATTTCAAGAAACAGTATCAGATTGATGTGTATTGTGTATAGGAAGTTTACTGAACAGTCGACAAATGGGGATTAATATCTGGCTTACAAACAGCTGACTTGCATATCTTCAGCTGTGTCCATTAGAGGGAGGTTTGTTTTGTTAAGTATTTAATGATCCCTTATGGGCTAGTAGGAGTCCTACAGACAGTACCACCATCTCTCTGTAACCACTTGTCCTTCCCTCACACATAGCTACATCATCCCAAAGGCTCACTTAGTCCCTCCAACTCCTTATGACCCTTCCCTGATGGTCACTGAAAGTTGCTGAATCTGGCTAATATGAATGCCAGTTCTGTTTGAAATTCCATTAAAGAACTCATTTTAGTACATGTGCTCTGGCCATCCATTCTGTCCTCATTTTCTAGCAGAAATCTCTTTCACCCCAGTCTATTCACATTGGTAGCCAAATAGTCATGCCACACCCACACCTTCTTCACGGGGATAAAGCTGTGTGTTGTTCCCTGAACTCACCCCACATTTGTTGGAGACAGACACTTTTACTCAGAAAGGAAGGCATTGGGCTTTTTGGTTGCTGATTTGAAAGGCTCATAGGCAGGGCTCCATCATGTGCTCCCAGAAATGTTTGCTTTCACATATAGATTGTTACAGTGTTCAAGTGGAGGAGCCTCAGTGTAGAGGCTCTCAAGGCAGTGGTGGCCTCCCTGATACTCAGTGTGGGATCATCCTGCATTGGAAGGACATCAGTCATCTCTGATTTCCCTGTCCTTTTCCAAAGCCACCGGGGACTTGGCCCATAGGGTCACTAAAAAGTTTACCACCCATGTCTGGCACATTCCTCAGTCAAGGTGGAGGTATTCATATGTTCTGATACACTGTCTTGATTGTCAAACCAAACAAGACACCTCCCAAGACCTGCTGCATGATCTTGAGAGTGAAATTCTAAAATACTTTGCCTTATCAAGGTATGTAAACCATGCCACCAACTGACATAATTTTTGGGAGCCAATTGCTCAAGAACAAAAGAAAACATTCCAACCAACCAAAATCCCTCACACCAAAAATGTGGAAAATACTATGGAATGCTACAGAATGTTCATAAATCTTTTGTGGAATTTGTGACGTTTAGAATTGCTACAGCTTGGTCCCTGTGGTGATTGCCCTTTATGGAAACCTTAACTAAATTTAGAAGACACATACTCTGTCTGTGTCTCTGAGGGTGTTGCCAGAGACATTTAATGGAGGAGGGAAGACCCGCCCTGAATGTGAGCAGCACCATCACATGGTCACGATGAAATAAAGTGAGATTACAGCTGAGCACTACTGTTTCTCTCTCTCTCTCTCTCTCTCTCTCTCTCTCTCTCTGCTTCCCAACTGTAGATAGTGTGACCACCTGCTTCATGTTACTGCTACCATACCTTCCCTGACATGAGACTGTGTTCTGTCAAACTGTAAGCCAAAATAAACCTTATTGCTTCTCATCTGATACAGCAATAGGAAATGAAACTAATACAGTCCCCAACACAGCAACATTGGAAATTAATAGGACTAGCTGGGCAGTGGTGGTGCACACCTCTAATCCCAATACTTGGGAGGCAGAGGCAGGCAGATCTCTGAGTTCAAGGCCAGCCTGGTTACAGAGCGAGTTCCAGGATAGCTAGGGCTACACAGAGAAACCTTATATCAGAGATAGATAGATAGATAGATAGATAGATAGATAGATAGATAGATAGATAGAT